CTCTCCCCGGTACGCTTGGTAGGAAACTTGACTCATTACCTTTCTGAGGTTAATCAGCAGATATGGAGCTCCGTTAACGCTACCTGTCCAGCGTCTCCTTAGGATGCTGTGAATCGTCAGAAGTAGTGGCGAGTGAAAATGTTATAATCCCATGGAACTCGGAAGAGCTCTGTTGTCATGTCAGGATCATCCCGTCTCTCACAGAACTGTCCAGCGCTAGGACATATCAGCACTGTCCGCGCCGCAGAACTTCTCCAACCAGCAGAACTCAACCGAACTTCTCCAGAGCTTCAACAGAACTGAGCAGAAATGTCCCAGAACTGAGTAGACCAGGAAGTTCCGACATTTTTAAGATCTCTCTCCCGGTTCACTTTTGGGAGTATTCCCATTGGTCAGAAACAACCAGACAGGGTGTGTTTTGTGACGTAAGAGGTTAGACGACAGCAAGAATTGTTATGAAACAGATCAGAAATGTTCTCACAGACAGAGAGAGTTTTGTTTTGGCGAGTTTAGAAACAGGTGCCAAAACCTCTATATTTACGTCTGAGAGGATTCTAAAAACATGACAGTTCGTTCCAACAACTTGTTTTGCGTTTGACTCCAACCTTGGACCAACTTACACTTGCTCATTCAAAAGCAGAAATCAGAAAAGGCATAATTACTCTGTACCAGCTTTGACATGAGTTCTAACTTTGCATGAGAATAAAAATCATTACACAGTTAATAAAATTGATTAGTTCACTGCAACATCTAAAATGGTTTGAACTAAGACACTTTGATTATCAACATTTGTAAAATAGTAATGATAATAAAAGAGAGTGTTCTTTTCACTTGAATCTTCAAGAAAGAAAGTCTCAGGATGGGTGAACCTGTATTTCTGGATTCAAATCAATAAAATGACAGTTCCTGTCCCACAAGGTTCTTAAGGTAAAGGGTTTTGACCTTAGGCTTAGTCGTGACACCAGATTAAGTTCACTACACATGCTCAAGAAGGACCATCAGCCTAACAATGGATCATTAGCACACTGATGGCTGTTTACTATTCACAGAGGGCTGAGTGATACTAGCAATCACAGCATTGTAAGAGGGGGACAATTGAACACGTAGGCCTCCACCCCTGTTTAACGATGGACAATTTCTTTTCACAAAGATGGCCTCCTTTACACCTCTCTCAAACCATCGTTCCTCTCCATCCAAGATGTGCACATCTTCATCCCTGAAAGAGTGACCGCTGGCCTGGAGATGAGTGTAAACAGCAGAGTCCTAGCCTGATGATGTTGATCTTCTGTGCTGGGCCATCCTTTTGGCCAGTGGCTGTTTTGTTTCCCCGATGTAAGACTGATCACAGCCCTCCTGACACTGAACAGCATACACAACATTGCTCTGTTTGTGTCGGGGGACTGGATCTTTGGGATGAACCAGTCTTTGCCTTAATATATTTTGGGGTTTAAAAGCCACTGGGACGTTATGTTTAGAAAATAAATGTCTCGGTTTTTCTGATACTCCCGCAACATACGGAATGACCACTGGTCTGGGTCTGGGATCCTCCTTTTCACCTGATGGCTGACTGGAGTCCTGTTTGGGTTTCTTCTCTGCTTTCAGGAAGGCCCAGTTAGGATATCCACATTTCTCTAGAGCCTGTCTTGTGTGGGATTTCTCCTTCTGCCTGGCTCCTGAGTTAGTGGGGACGCTGTCTGCTCTGTGGTACAGAGTCCTGATGACTCCTAACTTGTGCTCCAAAGGGTGATGGAAGTCAAACTGCAAATACTGGTCTGTGTGGGTGGGTTTGCGGTACACCTCAGTTTGCAAATGTCCTCTATCAGAAACTGAGATCTCACAGTTCAAGAAAGCCAACCTGCCATTTTTTACATCTTCTCGTGTGAACTTGATATATTTATCCACAGAGTTTATGTGGTCAGTAAAATGTTGGACTTCCTGAGATTTAATTTTAACCCATGTGTTGTCAACATACCTGAAACAAAGACGTTGTGGTGTCCCTGAAAAGGACGTCAAGGCTCTCTTTTCTACCTCCTCCATGTACAGGTTGGCCACAATAGGAGAAACTGGAGACCCCATTGCAAACCCATGTTTCTGCCTATAATATTGCTCCCCATATGTGAAGTAGGTTGACTGCAGGCACAGTTCCAAGAGTTGACGCAGTTGTTCTGTGGAAAGCATGGTCCTGCTGCTCTGAGTGGTGTCTGATTTTAATCTTAAACTGACCACATCATCAACAGGAATGCACGTAAAGAGTGATGTGACATCAAAAGAGACCATTGTTTCATCAGTCTCCATGATGACATCCCTCACCTTATCCACAAAGTCCATGATGTTCTGTATGTGGTGTTCTGAGCTGCCAACTAAAGGGATGAGTATAGACGCCAGATATTTGGAAACATTGTAAGGGACAGAGTCATGCTTACAATTGGTCTTAAAGGTACAGAGGACCAGACTTAACATCTTTAGGTTGTTGGAAGAATTCAAAAACTCTTTACCAGACTAAAACAGTCCATGCTCAATAATCCAGACTGTATTTTAATGCACTTGAATGAACAAAAAGTTGAGTCACTGTCTGCCGCTGCCATTCTAATTGATGTGCGTACACACAAAACCGTTTTTCATTCTGTTCCAACTAAAAACCCTTCTGTTAAGTTAGTGAGTGAAAAGAGTCAGTTCAGCAAAAGGATGATAGTGTTTCTATTGTCACAAAACAGCACATGTTATTAACTAACTGCTTAAAATGTAAAATCCAAAAATCAGTACATCAGCCAAGAGGTGTGTGATTCATTAAGAGTAAAGCCTGCTCAAAACATTCAGGATGTACTACAATCTTCTGATCCTTCACTGCTGATCACTCATACCCACAAGACTGATCCAACACTGCAAAATGTTTTACAGTGGGTGGTAGGTGCTGACAGAGCGAGGGCTGAGTCAATAGCTTTCTTCATTAATGATGGATTCATATGGAATCAAGTAAAATTTGGAAACCACAGTAATTTGTAATTAGTACTTTGAAAGTACTCTATTTTGGTTCTATTTTGTTTGTTAAATTTTAAAAGGCTATAATAAATACATTTTCATTTCCAAACCTATTTCCATGTTACTACCTCTTTCCTGGCTGAGCTAGGTTGCACATTTGACTTAACAATTAAAAGTAATTTCGTAGAATAATCTTAATCAAGTTTTAAATCCTTATGAATCTCAGAATGTAAGGCAATAATATGAAAAATTACCAAGAAGGTGGATACTTTGTAACCCTCTGCAAATGTTATTTGAACTACATTGAGCTTTGATAAACTGTTTCTTACATGCTGAAGTTGTAAAGCAGTTTCTCAAAAATGAGAATAGGTCCAGTTGAACTGAGAATAATGAGAGGTTGTCCACCAAACAAACAGAAGACAGTTCCTGCTAAAGCAGTGCCAAGGAAACTCTCCATTACTCCCTGAGAGAAAGAGATGGGACAGTCAAATGTGTGTGAATGTCTCTCAATAGATTGCAGTGCTTGGTATCAGTTATAGGACAGTTTATGCAAATATCTTTTGAAGACCTGGTAATTGTCAGTAGCATCTCCCAGCAGTCCTCCAAAGGTGATGGCATTGGTGATGCAGCCCAGGTAAATGAAGAGAACAGCAGAGATGGACTGGATATGGAAGCCATCGTAAATGTCACTACAGTAAAACGGCATCTTGCGTTTGATGTCCAGCCACATACCACCACAGATCCTGAAAATATAAATAAATTAAAGAACATTATTTCAAGATATACAACACTACTTGAATATGCGAGAGTGTTATTTGGGCTGCTGTCAAACACCAAAGACAAAAAGAACAAGTAGGACAACTGTCAAGAATAAATATCGATGAACCAACAGAATGATGGAGCATCGTAAAAACAAAACTTAGCATTCACACACATGTGAATTGCATTAGAAAAAACAGAAATTATATAATTTTTGAATGATTCAGTTTTTTTCTAATTTAATTCCTTTTTTTGATTTTGTTTTCCAAATGTGTGTTTTTGCTGTTTTTTCAAATTAAATTCTGTTTTCAAATGTTCATTTACACATCAGGGCCACCATAGATATCAGAACTGTGACCCTGGACACTCGGGTGAAGAGTGGTGTAGAGCTGTTAGCTGAACCCCACCTGGGCCTTCCTGAAAGCAGAGAAGAAACCCAAACAGGGCTCCAGTCAGCCATCAGGTGAAAAGGAGGAACCCAGACCCGGCCGGACCAGTGGTCATTCCTTATGTTGAGGGAGTATCAGAGAAACTGAGACATTTCTTTTCTAAACACAACGTCCCAGTGGCTTTTAAACCCCAAAATACATTACGGCAAAGACTGGTTAATCCCAAAGATCCAGTCCCCTGGCCATAGGTGTCGCAACCATTATATGTGAAGGGGGAGAAGTCCCCCCCCACATTCCAAAAACATTAATTTGGACACCCCCCCCCCCCCCCACACACACACACACACACACACACACTTTTACTATGAAACATTAGTTCAGGCAGCGCAGTTTCTCTTTTTTCCTGAACAAATCCATTCCACTTGATTAATAGGAGAATACTCAAACCACTAAAGCTCCACTCCAGGTTTTCCTGGTTACTTCCAACTCTAAACACAACAGCCTGTTGCCACGGCCACAATATACGGTGGTCACAGAATATGGTGTAACACCTGCAGTGTTTCTGTGCTCTCCTTCTGCTTCGGCCGAAAACATGCACAGGTGGAGGAGATGGAGACATCTCTGTGTTAGTCGCTCGCCAGTTTAGCGAGCTTTTTGCGGGCCGTTGTTGACCGGGGGGGGGGGGGGGGGGGGGGGACAAAAAAAAAAATTCATGTTGGGGGGGGGGGGGGGGGGGGGGGCAGGGGGGGAGGGGTTTGATCATAAACATATATTCATGTTAGGAGGAGAGAAGTGGAGCGCTACATCTGTAGCATCTTAGCTGAGCAGTAATTGTGACGCTGTAAGATGCTGCAGGTGTAAGAGACGCTGTGTGTTCAGGTGCATTAAAGTTGAAATGTTTTAAATCCCCACATCTTATTGTCCTCAAGCTTCATGAGAAACATCATTTAGATGAGTAAGTCCAGTGGTGATGTTTTTTATTTCACTATAGACAAAAAGTGCCGACCTGACGCTCTATTAAAGTGTATTAAAGTTAAAATTACTTTAAACCCACAGCTGAATTTATACAAAATTGGTGAGAAACATGTTTTAAATGTGTGGAATTAAAGGAATCTAGGTGAAATGTTGCTTTTTTGTTCACTAGTGAACACCTTTTTTTAAGCACGCACACGCACGTGCACACACATCATTGTGTCCCCCCCCTCACATTACGGATGCTTCTGACGCCGTTGCCCCTGGCACAAACAGAGTAATATTGTGTATGCTGTTCAGTGTCAGGAGGGCTGTGATCAGTCTTACATCGGGGAAACTAAACAGCCACTGGCCAAAAGGATGGCCCAGCACAGAAGAGCAACACCATCAGGCCAGGACTCTGCAGTCTACACTCATCTCCAAGCCAGCGGTCACTCTTTCAGAGATGAAGATGTTCACATCCTGGATTGAGAGGAACAATGGTTTGAGAGGAGTAAAGGAGGTCATCTTTGTGAAAAGAAATCGTCCATTAAACAGGGGTGGAGGTCTCCATGTTCAACTGCCCCCCTCTTACAATGCTGTGATTGCTAGTATCACTCAGCCCTCTGTGAATTGTAAACAGCCATCAGGATGCTAATGATCCATCGTTAGGCTGATGGTCCTCCTTGATCATGTGAGCAGCTGGTTTTGGTTGTCAGCATCAAACTGGTTGATCCACTCTGAGAAGGTGCTATTTAAGAGACTGAGCTGAATACAGCACCTCAGACTGAAGAAGTCTTTCGGATGAAAGATGAAACGTTTATACATATTTTTGTTGTTTTGCTTTGTTTTTTGAATGTCCAGAGGACCAGATTTAAACTTTTTAAGAACTAATAAAACAGTTATCTACACGTACCTCCCAGTGAATTTCAGTTCCTCTCCCAATTCATGCTGAGCAGGAAGGCCTTCCTCTTCTCCTCCTGCAGCTCCACCAGCTGAGCCATTCACCTGACCTAGCTCATTCAGGTTAAGAACTGACTTCCTGTCATATTGAAAGTAGAAACAATTGACTAAATGTTCGGAAATGTTTGTACACGGTTGAGCCAAATAACGTAAAGCACTGGTGAAACTACAGTGCTTTGCGAAAGTGTTCGCCCCCCTTGAATTTTTCAACCTTTTGCCACATTTCAGGCTTCAAACATAAAGATATAAATTTTTAACTATTTGTGAAGAATCAACAACAAGTGGGACAATCAAGAAGTGGAATGAAATTTATTGGATGTGTCAAACTTTAACAAATAAAAAACTGAACAGTGGGGCGTGCAATATTATTCGTCCCTTTTACTTTCAGTGCAGCAAACTCACTCCAGAAGTTCAGTGAGGATCTATGAATGATCCAATGTTGTCCCAAATGACTGATGATAAATAGAATCCACCTGTGTGTAATCAAGTCTCCATATAAATGCACCTGCTCTGTGATAGTCTCAGTGTTCTGTTCAAAGCGCAGAGAGCATCATGAAGACCAAGGAACACACCAAGCAGGTCCGAGTGTTACGTTTCTAACACCCAGATAAATACTGACCAAAAGCAAACAGACTTCAAGACCAGGGAAAATTAAACAGTGTTTATTTACAAAAGTGAAAACGATGATATTGGTGAGGTAACTATCCGGGGAGAGGCTGGAAACCCTGGAGAGCAAGGGGCAAAGCCCAGGAGAAGGAGCAGGCCAGGAGAAAACTCAAAGGCAGTAAAATGTCCAGAGAAGTAGTTCTTACTGTAGGAGAAGGAGGTCAGTCAGTGGATGTCCAAAAATGGTTTCCAGGAGATCCTGTGTAGGTGAGCAGGTGGTGGAAGGCAAGGAGCAGCTTGAGATGAGTCCAGGAAAGGTCGAGAGTAATTATCATGAGACCCAGGATGCAGGTGAAACACAGAGGTCAGAGCTGTAGCATGAGCACAAGGGGCAAATGTTCAGGCCAGGAGCTTACTACCAAAGGCAGACAATGCAGCAGCATAGAATGAAGTCCTCAGCTGGTACTTATACTTCTGCTGCTCGTTATTCCTCAATGGATCTCAGGTGTGTCTTTGTTGGAGCCCTCTGGTGGAGAAGAGCTGTGAAGCAAAAGGCTGGAAATCCCACACCGAGATACTGTTGTGGAGAAGTTTAAAGCCGGATTTGGATACAAAAAGATTTCCCAAGCTTTAAACATCCCAAAGAGCACTGTGCAAGCAATCATATTGAAATGGAAGGAGTATCAGACCCCTGCAAATCTACCAAGACCCAGCCATCCCTCTAAACTTTCATCTCGAACAAGGAGAAGACTGATCAGAGATGCAGCCAAGAGGCCCATGATCACTCTGAATGAACTGCAGAGATCTACAGCTGAGGTGGAAGAGTCTAGTCTGTCCATAGGACAACAATAAGTCGTACACTGCACAAAGCTGGCCTTTATGGAAGAGTGGCAAGAAGAAAGCCATTTCTCAAAGATATCCATAAAATGTGTTGTTTAAAGTTTGCCACAAGCAACCTGGGAGACACACCCTACTGTCAAACATGGTGGTGGCAGCATCATGGTTTGGGCCTGCTTTTCATCAGCAGGGATAGGGAAGATGATCAGAATTTATGGGAAGATGGTTGGGGCCAAATACAGGACCATTCTGGAAGAAAATCTGTTTGAGTCTGCATGAGACCCGATACTGGGACGGAGATTTATCTTCCAACAAGACAATGATCCAAAACATAAAGCCAAATCTACAATGGAATGGTTCACAAATAAATGTATCCAGGTGTTGGAATGGCCAAGTCAAAGTCCAGACCTGAATCCAATCGAGAATCTTTGGAAAAAGCTGAAGGCTGCTGTTCACAAACGTTCTCCATCCAACCTCACTTAGCTCGAGCTGTTTTGCAAGGAAGAATGGGCAAGAATTTCAGTCTCTCGATGTGCAAAACTGATAGATACATATCCCAAGTGACTTGCAGCTGTAATTGCAGCAAAAGGCGGCGCTACAAAGTATTAATGCAAAGGGGCCGAATAATATTGCACGCTCCACTTTTCAGTTTTTTATTTGTTAAAAAAGTTTGACACATCCAATAAATTTCATTCCACTTTAGGATTGTGTCCCACTTGTTATTGATTCTTCACAAAAAATTAAAATTTTATATATTTATGTTTGAAGCCTGAAATGTGGCAAAAGGTTGAAAAGTTCAAGGGGGCCGAATACTTTTGCAAGGCATTGTATGTGGTAACATAGGAGTTAATGACATCTTTTGGAATACACTACAACAATAACACATGTATCATACATATGTGTAAAATGCAACAGTAAAGATGATGTAAAGATTCAAACAAAATTGTTTTCATGCCTCATTTCTGCTGAAGGGACCTTCTTGGGAGGTTCAATGCGTATTTTAGGATCCCATTCTCCTGGAGGAAGGACTATCACCTCATCCAGAAACTCGTCAACACCTGCAATCAAGTCATCACGGTCCCTTGCTTTGTACGCAACATCACTAAACAGCTGATAGAAAAATAGTAAAATCAGTTTAATACACTTGATATGTTTAAATTAATATGTGACAAGGGGCGATGTGTCAAAGGTTTCTTACATCATCTACCATGAGAGTGGCAATAGCTCTGCCAATTTCATTGTAAGACTTAGTTTTGCCTTGAGGACCCAGCATAATGAAGAGAAACCTGTCAAAAAATATTTGTCAAATGATTATAAATAAGAATTATACTTCAGAGTGATGAAGTGAACAGGAGGGGTGTCTACCTGGTTGGGACAGGGACCTCTGTGAGGCCTCCTAATGTTGTGGCTTGAGCCAAGCGTACAAATGAGACAAATGGTTTGTCCAGAAAATCCACCTCACCAATCATTACATTAGAGGCCTCAGCATCACGAGGAATCTTCTTCATAAATTTATTCTTCAGCTGAAAGAAGAGGGGAAATAACTCACATGTTGAAGCTAGTTGAACTGCACTGCATTCACATGTGAATGTGACAGGACAAGCTAGTTTGAGCATGAACCAATGGGTAATAAGATCATTTGAACTAAGATCATCTTGGGTTAAGTTGAATATTTGATGGGTTCCTCTAAAGGTTGATGATAACCTTCCATGCAACTTTAAAAAAGACCATATGTATTAAAACAAACGATAACTTCGTTTTTTACTGGAGGTGAACTGACAGCAATATGTTTATATGCAGACTGTTTTTCAGGGCGCTGGCCTGAATATGCTGGTTTCTGGCATCATAAATAGATTTAATGTACTGTACATGTAATATCACCTCACTGAGCTCATCAGTGAAGCTGGTCTTTATCAGCTATACAGTAAGATGGGTTTACCTGCATACACATCTTGAGTTCTGATAGCTATCAATATCAATATGATCCTGATATATGAATGATATTGAATAAATATTAGCCCCAGCTCTATAACTGGTATCTAGGGCATGCAGGAGAGCAGATGGTGAGGGTTTAGGGCTTTGCTCAAGGGCCCAGAGTGGGTCAAATGAGGGTGAAGGCAGGTGTGGGTGTTTTACCAAGAAGCGGTTCTCTGCAGACCAAAAGTGGGCATTTCTTGAGAATATGTGTTTCTAGGGGGCAAACACTGATTGGCTTACTGTATTTTCTGGCTCTTTAGGTAAGTTACGTCAGCTCTTTTTTAAAACTGAAGGTTTCTAAGAAACAGCATTATATCTGCTGTCAAACACAAGAAGATTCTCTTTTGTTCTTGGGTTGTAGGCTGCACCTGACACAGGTTGGCTTAAGTTTGGTCTGGGTACAATGAAATATGAAGCATCTGAAGTGAAACCTGCTCCTATTTGTATATACCTGCTTCCTATTTGAAAATTATTATGATTGAAATAATTGTTTGAAAAAAGGGGCAGATATAATAAGATTTTTTCTTCTTTCTGCTGCCTTTCATTTTAAATCTTTTGTGTCTTTTTTTATATTGTTATGGAATTGTTTTGTACTTTTTTTTAAATGAATAAACTTTATACCATACCATACCATATTTGTCAAAAAGTCTGGTCTCAATTAAAGATCATGAGACCTGTGACGAGATAATGGCCCAAAACAAACGCTAAAAACAAAAATTGCTCTTTAGCAGTGCTCTTCTATGAGATCTGATCTATGAAAGGAGCTGAAACATGGAGTAGGATTGATCCTTGAAACGTGAGACAGCTGAGGAAGTTAACCAGTTAACAGAAATACCTGCTCCAGTTGCAAAAATCTTACAGAAACTGACAATCACTCAACTGCAGTTACTGCAGTTACTGAATCATAATTGAAATGAGATGCCTGATTAAAGTGGTAAAAATTAACTTCCTTCATAAGGCAGCCAAGCTCAATCTTAGAAAGAAGAGCTCCATCATCCAGAAGGAGTTCAGAGGAGATGCTCTTGTGATGCTCTTGCAGGTCAAAAGTCAACAGAGGTGTTTTGGGTGAGGCGAGAAAATGTAAACCATAACATTTTGGGTAAAATTTTTAAAAAATTCTAATATGTAAAATTGTCTTGCTCAGATGTTACAGTGTTAACGTTCTAGACCATTTAGCAGTTGCATCATACCTATATTGTTCTAAACAAAATAACTATCAAACTTAAAACTATTCTGAATCTTGTTGTATTTTAATTTGCCTTAACTATGTAGTCAAGATGAGCAATGATCAACAAGTAAATGAATGAACAAATGAAATAAAATTGAACAAAAGCAATTGGTCTTAGTGCAGATTGCAGCTTACAAGATCAATAATCACTGCTGATTTTCTGTTTTGTTGAACAATTTCAACTGGATACAGTAAAAATAATTATAAATATATATATTCACACAGTGCTGTTAGCTATTTGGTACCCCCCCCCCCCCCCTTTTCACAAAAAAAGCACGAGGCAGTGGAGTGGTTAGTGCTTAAACTAAAATCTCTTTATAATCTCAATGCTGCTTTCAGAGTAAATACACCAGCTGCTCTGCTTTCACTTTCATATAAAATTTTATTCCTCAGCATTTATGAACAGGACATTGCAAAATCTCCTAATATTTATAATCTTTATTCATTTTTGCTTCAACCTGTGCTGTTGTATGTTTTCTTAACCTCCAGAAAATAAGTTAAGTCCTGTACTTTGCCCCATGACAATAACTATTCAGATCAAAGAATTAAGGAGGTGCCAAACCAGTGCATGTGAATAAATAATTGCACCAAAGGTCAGAGTATCTGTCACATTTCTGCCAAGTCATGCTCCGTTTTCCTCTATCATGCTCTTCTTCTTCTTCTTTTGGTTTTTATTGGCAGTTGGCAACCAACTTAAGGAGCATTTACCGCCACCTACCAAACTGGAGTGTGGTCTTCAGCGATGTCACAGGGAATTCAACACATCAAATGACGTGTATGATGTATATATGCCCACCCTGACCCTCACTAAAGTACTTATATGAATATGCAGCGGCAGACTCATATCTATATACTCAATATTACACTCGATTTATTATTCCCGTGCTATTCAAAAATTTAAACAATTGAGTCGCAACATATCTTGATCTATATCCCAATAGATTGATCAAGGACATTTCTATATTCTTTTTGTTCAGTGATGATTTTAAAAGTTGGCATTCCTCTGAATATTTCACACACTGTAACAATACATGTTCTACTGTTTCCTTGCTATTACAATAATAACAATTCCCATTTTCATGCTTACCTATTATGTACAAAGAATTATTAAGCCCAGAGTGCCCCATTCTGAGTCTAGCCATAACTACTTCCTCCTTTCTCCTTCCGCTCATATATTTATTATCCCCCACATCCTTTTGAATTTCATATAACTGTCTTCCGTTATCATTATTATCCCATTGTTCCTTCCAGTTTTTAAGAATTTCTATTTTTACAATAGATTTTCCTTCACTTTTACTTAATGGAAAATTTAATTGAACTATTTTTTACTTTAAAGCCTGTTTCGCCAGTATATCCACTTCCTCGTTACCTTCTATACCTGCATGAGCAGGGATCCATATAAATCTGATAAAATATTTTTTATTTTGTAGATGTAATAGTATTTGGTTTATTTCAAATAACAAATCCAATCTGCAGGATTTGCCAGACCTTATGCTTAGCAATGCTGCTTGGCTATCTGATGCTATTAAATACTGGTTTTCTCCATCAATGTTATTATCAATCAACCATTGTAATGCTAATATAATGGCTGATAATTCAACCATATAAATTGCTAAATGGTCAGCTGTTCTCCTCTTAAGCAAGACTTTATGGTGTGGGATATTAATTGCTGCTCCAGTTTTACCAGTTATTGGATCTTTAGATCCATCTGTATAAAAAACAATGGTATCTGTATACTTTTCAAAGTACTTATCAATTACCTTCCATACTGGTGTCTTTGTTTTTTTAATAAGTTCCCCCAAATGTAAATCAATGTCTGGATATATAAATAGCCAACGTGGAATTGAAGATTGAGGAGCTGTCATACTATATTGGAATTTATTTAAACCGAGATTTGTAGCTTTAATATTCCCAATCCATCCAAATCTATTACAATTAGAGATATTATGTTCCCAACAGTCTTTGACCACCTGCTTAGTTGGATGATCTTGCTTATGTCCTTGTAGATTTATCCAGTACATATACATTAGCTGCAATCTACGTAAACGTAACAGAATTTCACCAGTTTCTACCTGTAGCGCCGCTAATGAAGTTGATCTAAAAGCTCCAGTACAAATTCTCAGTCCTTTTGTTTGCTCAGTATCCAGTTTTCTTAAATGACTGTCTGCTGCTGCCATGTATGCTATACATCCATAGTCTAATGATGATCTCATGAGGGCCTGATATACTCCTAACAGTGCTTTTCTTGATGCTCCCCATTCTTGTCCAGAGAGTCACTGTAGTCTGACCATTTTCTATCCAAATTTTTATTACTATTGCTTCATGATTTTTACTAAGTGATTCTACTTTATATCTTAGACCATTCTGTATAAAAGTTGCCACTCCCCCACCTTGTTTTTTCCTTCTGTCATTTCTATTTTTTTTTTTTCTTGCTACTCTACGGTGAAACCAGACGTGTTTTCCCTCTCTACCCCCCCACCGGCTTCCCTGCTGCGCTCTTTTGTCCTGTGAACCCTTAAAAAAAGCCTCTCTTTTTTTCTTGCATACCTCTTATTTGGAAGGATCAGCTGGTCTCTCAACAAAATCGATCAACTTCTCCCGACAGGATTCAGGGTAAGGAGGACCCCTATGACCTCTTTAAGGAACAAATTGGATTCATGATGACAACAAGATTCTACTGTTTGGGTTGGTGGAATCTGGTTGTCTACAAATTCGTGTGGAGGTGTTGAAGCTTGACAGTGCTCGGACTGAATGTGGAGCTGTGACAGGGAATTGGAGCAGCTGTTATCAGGACTGTGTTCTCCCTGGCAGCACTCATGAATGGTGGAATAATCTGGAGAAGCTGTGAGCTCGACTTTTGGAGTAAAGGATCAATTTGGCTGTTTTGGAGTTTCCATCAGAGAATATGTACTAGCGAGACTTTAAAGGCAGAAACAACAATTCACGAGTTCTGCCTGACCCAAACTGTGGCCTTGATGCCGGACTTATCTCAACTCCTCCTGGAATGTTTTGAAAACAACAAAGATGCTTTGATTGTTTCCTCACCCCTCCCTTCCCCAAGGCTGTGGACATGTAACAGAACCTCAACTGAGCTGAAGATGAATGTCACCTCTAATCTGGACAATGGCTGAGGGGGGGCTCTGGACTATGCTACGACTTTCCCTTAAAAAATTCAATGTTTTCACCGCCTATATGTACATGTATAACGTCTGTTTATGTTGCTTTGCTGTGGTAGGTTTTTTTGATGCCTCAAATTGTGCCCTGTCTAGGACACGGCATGAGAGATCTTTTTCTATACCGTCTCTCCTCGTGTTTTCT